AAATATTAAACAAAAACTATTTGATAGTATTTTATATATTTTTAATAAATAAAAACATATATAGTCAATTTTATTAAATTAAATCGTAAGTTTTTAAGTGAAAAAAATAAAATAAAAAGATATTTTTATTTATTTTAATACAAACAAATGAATTCAATAAAAATGGATAAAATAATATAACAATAGAATAATTTAAATAATTATGTGAACTATTGAATAGTAAAACGAGAATGTAAAAAATTTGTACTAAATACTTGTTATTAAAATTAGCATTTTTGAAGAAATTTTAATTTATAGCTTCATGTAAACACTTAAATTTGCTTTATGATAAACTAAAATTTTTAAAATTATGAGAGCCAAACGTCTGACTTCTGCTTTTATAATGGATAAACCCTTCCGTAAGTTAGACCAAACACCTTCGTAATACAACAACTATAAATTATGACTAATTACTCTGATTAGCAAGAACATCAAAACAATTTAGCATTAATTTCCTTCACGTGTTATGTTACACATTTAATTAACTAGTTTGTCTTCTCTAATTGGAATATTAGCTATATGTAGTGATTTTTTTATTTCAATGTTTTAAGTCATTTTCTAGTCCTAAACACCGAAAGTACTTTCAATTCAAGTTGTTTAAATTTTAAAGTGTAGAGGACTCATCGTTAAAATGTTGCTTACAAAGCTTGCTTTTGAACGAACTTGTTATTGATGATGGTCTTCCAATTGAGATATCAATTGTAGTCTCACCTTCTAAGCCTTGTTTAAATCTAAGGTAGAGTTTTCAAAGAACAAAGGAAATGGCTTCAAGGTGTGCTTTTTATGCCACTTTTCTTAAGGTTTATTTGGCCTTTACCAATAATAATATGCAAAAAAAGTTGAGTTGAAATGTTTCCAAGATATAGTGAAGCTTTCATTGAATCACCTTGCACTAGTGAAATCAAATAACTAAAAGCCCTTTGATGAGATAAGGAGATACCTTATCTTTAACAGGGTTTTTCTATAAAAAAAAATAATGCCAAAGAAACAAGTTTTTATTTGTGGAAGCATAAGAGGAAAGAGAGAGAGAATTTTAAAATTTTGAATACGTCAAATGAACTTATAATAATATATATTTATAGAGATTAAATCTTAAAGTTGTAACTCTTAGAATGAATTGTTTTAATAAAAGTCACTTCCTTTGATTATCTTTTTGAATAATTAAAGACAATTAGTTCATTAAATTGATCAAACTTTTTATACCAAAAGAAATGATTTTTAACTTTTTTGAAAATTGTAACTTTTTATTCGGAGTTGAATCCACCTAAATGGTAATAGATCACATATTTGTATTTTTTGTTTCCAAAAAGCTATACAAGTAGGATAGTCGATTCCTTTTTAAAAGCAGTTGATTCCTCATTTGTTCTAGTATGTCCATTACAGTAGATTAATCGACTATCCAATAGAGCATTTAATTACTCTCTCATTCTAGAAATTTTTCAGCATTAAGGTACTACTTTGGTCATTTTCATCATCCAAAAGACTATATAATTATTAGCAGTTGGTTTTTCTAGGGATAGGAATCGATCAGACTAATTTTCAACTATAGCAATCAGTTACCCTAGTGTCATTGTCTAAAAAAAAGGTCATGAATCCCATATCAATTGTGTCCTATAATCAATCTTGGGATATAAGTATTCACACTACCATTAACATGTAAGGTGCCTTTTGTAAAACAATAGTGGCCTAATGAGTTGAAATGGATAATACCTAACAAATTGGTGTCGACCATGACATTTGGTATCAGAGCTAGGTCTAGGATACTAACAATGTGCTGTCAATAGTGGTGGGCTATCGTTGGAGTGAATGAAGATGTTATGGTTCTAGAGAAGAGTTATAAATCTTATACTGACTGTATACTAGAGTCAGTTTTAAGATATAGTCTATTTTAAGATATAAGTGTTCATACTACTTTTAACTTGTGAGATGCCAATTGTAAGATAAAACCATGATGTCAATGGGTCAAAGCAGATAATACCTCACAAATTGGTTTAGACTATAACACTTAACTTGGATAGTTGACTACTCTTTTGGATAAATTGGTTCTAAGATTTGCTCAGCTTTTGTAATAGCATAGCAGTTTATGGTAGTTTAAGACAATTAACTCTTCATTGTATAGTAGTCAATTACCCACCTAGATAGTTTTCTAACTTTGATTCTTTTTTATATAGAACTGTCACTTTTGACCATAGAACTATATTGTAAGCTATTTAAAGTGTGTTTGATGTATAAATTTATGATATTATGAATAAGATTAGATTAAATAATATCATTTTATTTTATGTTTAATGTGTGCAAGAATTAAAATAAGATAATTTATTTATTGATCAAAATTATCCTTTATTAAAGTTCATACAATTAAAATTATTGATATAATTTTAAAAGATACAATAAGACATGTAAGTTCAATCCTATAAATTAAAAGTAATTCTTTCTACTTTGAGAGAACTGAATCATCATATGCAAAAAGGTTGATTAATTTTTCTTACAATTCCATCTTCTTTTTTTTTAATACAAACCAAATATTAGATAAGATGATTATCATACTGTCTTATCTATTATAGACTTAATATAGACTCAATAACTTAATATGATTTCTTTCTTATTAAGTCTTTAATTAATCATATTATTTTTATATTTTAAAAATATTTCTAACATAAAATTATTGGAAATTTGATAAAAACTTAAAAGCACTTTTGTCTAACAATCGATTCCTCCTTTATTCTAATGTGTCCATTACAATAGATTAGTCAATTGCCAATGGAGTATTCAACTTTTCTCTCATTCCAGAAAGTTTTCATCATTAAGGTAGTTGATTCCCTTTTATAGAAGCTAGCTGCCTTGGACATTTTCATCATTTAGAAGACTATATAATTAATAGTAATTGGTTTTCCTAAGGTTAGGAATCAATTGGATTGATTTTTAGCTATAACAGTTGTTTGCCCTAGTATCATGGTCTTAGAAAAGAGTCATGAATCTCACATCGATTATGTATTATTGGCGATCTTGGAATATAAGTGTTCACATCACATTTAACGTGTAAGGGGCCTTTTGTGAAAAAAATAGTGACTAAATAGGCCAAAATGGATAATATCTCACAAATTGGTATAAACCACAACATTTGGTATTAGAGCCAAGTCTAGGATACTAACGATGCGCTATTGAGGGTAGTGGGCCCTCACTGGAGAGAAAGAGAATGTTATAGTCTTAGAGAGAAGTTATGAATCCTACACTGATTGCATATTAGAGTCAGTCTTGGGATTTAAGTGTTCATATCACCTTTAACTTAAAATATGATGCCTTTTGTAGGATAAAATTATGATGCCTAATGGGTTAAAGCGTACAATACCTCATAAATTGGTGTAGACTATAACACCTAACTTGGATAATTAACTGCTTAGCTTTTGTAATATCATAACATTGATTGCATTGCTATTAGTAGGTACCTTTGGCAGTTTAAGACAATTAACTCCTTATTGTATGTCAGTTGATTACTTGCCTAGATAGTTTTCTTGCTTTGATTCTTTCTTATATAAAACCATCACTTTTGACTATGAAACTATACTTTAAGCTATTTAATGTGTGTTTGGTATATAAAATTATAATAGGATATAATAAGATGATATTATGAATAAGATTAGATTAAATAATATCATTTTATCTTGTATTTGATATGTGCAAAAATTAAAATAAGATAATTTATTTATTGATCAAAATTATCCTTCTTCAAAATTTATACAGTTAGAATAATACATATAATTTTAAAAGATATAACAAGATATGTAAATTCAATCCTGTAAATTAAAAATAATTCTCTCAACTTTAAGAAGATCGAATCATTATATGCGAAGAAATTTATTGATTTTTTTTTATAATTCTATCCCTTTCTTTAATTATAACCCAAATATTATATAAGATGACTATCATCCTATCTTATCTATTATCTTATCTATCAAATATAAACTTAATAACTTAACATGATTTCTTTTTTATTAAGTCTTGACTTAATCATATTATTTTTATATTTTAAAATATTTCCAACACAAAATTATAAGAAATTTGATAAAAACTTAAAAGAATTGTTGTAATCTTTATTTCCCGAGGAAAATTTCTCTTGCATGTGTTTAAATTAAAAGTACAGCTTTTGATCGGACGCAAAGAAAGTTACAGCTGTTTTATGCATGAGATATAGGATTAATTTTAATAAAAAATGAAGTTTCATTGAAAAGCTTAACAATAGGTACTTTAAAAAAGGGTTTATAGTCTTTAAAAGTTTATTTTTAACCGGCTTAAAAGGAAAGAAACCCTCTCTCTCTCTCTCTATATATATATATATATAAATATATATATATATATATATTCACTCTGTCTTAAAATATTGTCTTTTATTGATTTTTTTATCAAACTAATAATTTTACCTTCATTTTTAAAATATTGTATTGGATTAAAATCTAAAAATATATTTTTAAAAAAATTGAAACTCAAAATTTGTAAATTTTATTTTAAAATTTTTTTATTTTATAATTCTATTAATAATAATGGTTAAAGTTGAGTTACTTTGGCCTAAAAAATTGATAAAAGACAATGATTTTGGAAAAGAAGAGTATTTTTCAATCGGATTTCAGTTTAGCATCTTTCTTGATGTGCAGCAAGATTTTGGCTACCTTACTTGCTAAAAAATTATATAGGGTAGTGCCGAAAAGCTTCTTTGAGCAAAAGAGAAGAAAGAATTCTTATATATACATATATGTATTAGTGTATAACTACAATTTGAGTCAGCAATAGCATACAATTATAATGATCGAACGGAGGGGGGATCTTTTAGCTATGCAGCAAGCAATTTTCTTAATTTTTTCTCTTTCCCTTCCCTTTCCCTTTTATTAATATTTAATTCTCCATTAGTTTGCTTTATTTTTTTGGATTACGGAATATATGCCGTCTCAACTCTCAATGCATGAGATAGAAAGAGAAATGGGTGACATCCCCACATCCCTCATATTATTATTAGATGCAAGGTCACAGTCATTCTTTAATGTACCTTCCATTTATTATCCTTTGTCTTTTGGCTCCTTTCCTTCTCCATCCATGAGTGGTCTTTGCCTTCTTTTCTCCATCACCTTTTCTTACTGAATTTGCAGCTCTCTTTCGCTTTCTATTACTTCTCCAATTAGGGTTTTCCTCTTCGAGGCTCAAGCCAGCCCAGCCCCGCCCCTGCAATAAATCTGTGATAGGAGCTCATATTTTGATAGGAGCAAAGAACATCCTCGTCAATAAGGGAAAAAGGTACTTCCTGTTTTATTCTTCTGATAAAAAAAAACAGATCAAAAACAGGAAATTATATGTGTAGCTGCTTTCTTTTTTCTGTGCTAACTAATACGTCTTTTTTTTCTTTCCTTGGCAAGCTAAAGGCTAAAGAGATGCTTGACTCTCTTTTGCTAAGGCTCTAATTTAGGGCATTCTTATGTTCAAATACCTTAATTATACCTACGAAACGTTAATCTTGGTGAATCTGCACTAGTCAGATTCAGATCCCCACTTCATTTGATCGCAGAAAGGATCCTATGACCTTACAACTGCTCATGCAACTAAATTCTCTTAAGCTATTTACTACTGTAATTAGTCTTGCAGGTTGAGAGACGGAGAGAAGTAGAACATGTTAATTACGGAATATTATAGAGAAGAACAAACTTAGGAACCACATTTAATGGTTGCATGCAGAAGTCCTTGTGTGGATCATGAGGGTGAAGTGTAAGGTTTGAACTTTTTCTTCTAAGCGTAAAAGAAATCAGTAAAGAAGGAAAAGGTAACAGAGAGTAAAATTGGAAAAAGAAACAAACAAGCAAGAAGGAAGCTATAAGTACATAAAATAAACCAGTGACAATTAATATTCCCAGATTTAAGACATTATGCTATTATGCTATGCATGTATGTTTCAAAAGCTTCTCTCTGTTGTGTGTCTCTGAGTGTGACAGAAAGATGGCCACGGAATTTTTTTTTCTTTTTTATTTTTTTACTCCAAAACTTTGGACACATTTCTATTAGGAAACCGGCTACTTAGATTTGCTTGATACTGATAACAAAGATAATCTATTCAAGGAAACCCTAGTTAATTTGGAAAAGGAATGAAAAATTGAAAAAATAAATATTAAGCAATAGTCAAGAAGACAAGCGGAAGAATTTTAAACGATACTAATTTGGTTTTCTAAAACAATTTCAAAATTTCAGAATTAAAGAGCTAACAGAAAGAAAAAACGTCTATTATTTCAAATTTAGAAAAGCTCACGACAAATGCCTATTCTGGATCTGAGCATATTGTCCGTGGTAGCAGTGAACATGGCTTCGTCCAGCTCTTACAATTCACCCTGTGCTGCTTGCAAGTTCCTGAGGAGGAAATGCATGCCGAATTGCATCTTTGCACCTTACTTTCCACCAGAGGAGCCCCAAAAATTTGCGAATGTTCACAAGATCTTTGGAGCCAGTAGTGTGACTAAGCTCCTCAATGTGCTCCTCCCTCACCAAAGAGAGGATGCAGTGAATTCCCTTGCCTATGAAGCTGAGGCGAGAGTAAGAGATCCGGTTTATGGGTGTGTTGGTGCTATTTCTTTCCTGCAGAGACAGGTTCAAAGGCTTCAGAAAGAACTTGATGCAGCTAATGCTGATTTGATCCGTTATGCCTGCAGCGAGATCACAACAGCCTTCCCTGCACCACCTGTGGCGAGTTCAATTCAACCTCTAACACCCCGTAACAGGACAGCTGACTTTAATAGAAGTATTGGTTATAAAGGAGGAGGATTCTATCAGTCCCCTGGTGCTTTGCCTCTTCCTTATTCTTTTCCTTGGAATGATAACTCTTCAGGTGATATGAACGATGGAGAAAAAGGAGATATATGAACCAAGACAATTTCAGACGTTATGCGCCGTTTAGGGTTTTGCTATATGGGGCATGAACTGTAGAAAAGCTCTTGGGTGTGATGTTGCTTATATATTTTTAGTTAAGGTTTGGTTTCCGCCTAGCCTCCGTCATGTGGACTCTCCTAGTTAGATTTCACTTAACTTCTAGTAATATTGTTTTCCTTCCTATTAATTTGTTGGTTCACTACCTTTTTTATCCTGCTAATACCAGGGGAATAAAATGTATTATCAGTACTGTACTAAATTTATATATTTTTTGTGGGAATTGGGACCTAAATAATGCGGGTAATAGAGCCATATATAGCCATATTAGTATGTATATATGTATGTACGTATGTATGCATTTATGTATGTATGCATGTATTTATGTATGTATGGCTGCTAAACCTTTTGTTGCGTCATTAGTGCAGCAGCAGCTCTAGGCATAACTGCATGAGGGAGTTGCTCTTCTCTTCTGTCATTGTTTGTGCTTAAAAATAAATGAAATGAAATAGTTGCAGTGTTAAGGTCCAACTTTAAAGAGGATTCTCTAAGCCAAAGTCTACGGCGTAGTCCTTCTTTACGCTATTGATTCTTACCTTTCTACTTTGTTCTTGAGGACCACTGGTTTACTTTCCTGGCAAATTTTATTCAGTAATTCATTCATAGCTACAGATTTAAAATGGACAAAATTTAACCCCAAGTTGCACCTGAATAACCACTATTTCTGTGTATAATATATTGTAGTAGTAATTCTTATCTATCATCAGTTCTCGACCTTTTCCCTATTAGATTAGATTGCATGTCCCTTTCTTATTAAAATAATGGACTACTTGATAAAGAAACCCCTATATACTGATAATCAGCCAAGCCCTTGTATGAAACAATTGTAAACAAAAATGAGCAGTAATTGTTTCAATTGTTTATGCTTTGATTAATCGTATTCAGAGTTCTTTAAATTCTAGCTTGTGCAGAAAAGAAAGCAAAAGGATGCTGTGAAGTTGGTTTGATTATGAATTTTAGCAGTTCTATACTATGGTAACAGATGTTTCAAACAGTAAGTCACAGTTCCGATATGCAAAGTATTTGCTCAATTGTTCTCTTGCACGAAGGCTTTTTTTTTTTTTTTTTTTTTTTTTTAATTTCAGCTTTTCCTTACCCAGCCATTTCACCATTAGGATCCCCAACAGTAGAACCTTAGACAAAAGTCTCAACATTGTCAAGTCGCTATCTCTCTCTCTCTCATTGTTGTGTTCTGATCCTTCATTTTTTTTCTTTTTAATTATTTTCTGATATTTTATATATGATATATATAGCCTTATATAATATATATGATTTAATGTGTGCGTCCAATTATCAAGGCTAAGAAAATGCCTGCTTGCCTATTAAGATAGTAGATTAATAATATGGAGACTAAAGGAAGAAGAAAGCAAAAGAGAGGGAGAAAAACTTACGGGGAGAAAGATATGTGAGAAAAAAGAGGTACTTTTATTATCAAAGGTAAAAAGTGCCGTTAAAACAATACTTATCAGTGGCAAATTTATTTTGATCAGCTAAAAATAAAAAAAAAATAAATTTTGATAGCTATTTAAACTGTCAATAAAAATGTGCCCTCAAATTTGAGTTGTTTGTAATGACCCAAAAGGCGTTTTAAGGAACCTAGCTAAAAAAATGTAGGTAGAAAACTTAGTGTTTAGGGGGTTTTTACTTTACATCAGCCTAAAATTATTTTCAAAGGTCAGCACAGCAAGCATATTCTTTTTTTTTTCTTTTCTCTCAAATATGGAAAGGGGCCTTTTGTCCAAATTAACTAAGCTGTCTTTCTCAAAATTTATTCTTCCAAATCATTGGTAAAGAAGACTGTACTAATTTAGATTTAAAAAGAAGAGAAGAGGAAAGAGAAGATGAACATGAGCTTTTGTTTTAAAATTTCTAATTGCTTTTTCTTTTTTTGAATGAGATAGGACTTGGAAATTCCTTATTTTCTTCGACTGTTCAGTTCATTCTTCTTTTTTTCCTATCATGCGCTCTCCTTCTGATAGCCACACGCTTGTGTCACGGATCGAGACTCAAGCTCCGAACTCATGCGGTTTCGAGACCCGAACATTCACCCTTTCGATGTCCCGGATCAGCCTTCCGTCACGGTTCACACCTTTATGAGATATTATCCGCTTTGGCCCTCCTGGCCTCATGATTTTATCCTACAAAAGGCACCTCACAAGGTGAAAATGGTGTGAACTCTTTTATACCCAGTGACCCACCTATTATGTTCGATGTGAGATTCAGGACTCCCCCTTAGGTCCGTGACATTTTTCCGCACCCAACCTCGTGACGCCCTCGTCACGGAGGCTGGCCACTCTATCTACCTCTCTCGAGGTGCTTGACGTGGATCGAACGGTTTAGGGCTGGCTCTGATACCACTTGTCACGGGTCGAGACTCAAACTCCGAACCCATGCGGCTCCAGGACCTGGGCATTCACCCTTCCGGTGTCCCGGATCAGCCTTCCGCCACGGTTCACACCCTTGTGAGGTATTATCCGCTCTGGCCCCCCTGACCTCACGGTTTTATCCTACAAAAGGCGCCTCACAAGGCGGAGATGGTGTGAATCCTTTTATACCCAATGACCCTCCTATTATGTTCGATGTGAGATTCAGAACTCCCCTTAGATCCCAGACACTTACATTATATACGTGTCAATAAGACAGTACAAACCTTTCAGCTCATAACACGACTCTCTCTTCTGTTACTCCACTTTTTGTCAATGTCTATCTGCCTGCCCAGAACTGAATGCTCAATATCTCTCCTCTTCAAACTTGAAACACACGAATTTATATTAATTTTTATCTTATGCAGTGCATCTGTATTTTCTTCTTTTTGTTCCAAATATTTGTATTTTCCCACACACACACATATATATAAATATATATATATATATATATATGTTAAAACCGTCCACTCCCTCTCCCCCGCTATCTATCAGATGTCTCTGGATTTGCGTCTCCAGTCTTTTGTCGTCCAACTCCTTGCCTCCTCAGCCGACTGCCCACACTTAAATTCTTTGTTGGAATTTCTGGTGAACCAAATACATAATATCACCTTATTCCTTGGTAATCTTTTGGCCTCATTCGCATTTCCATATATAGTATTAACTTTACAAAGAAATAGTTATAATTAATAATATATTTATTTCAATAATAAAGTGTTTGATAGTTGTAGCTAGTACCGTTGATATGGGTTTCAGAGGGTACTAAGAGGGTAAGAATGCCTTTTCCGAAGTTAATGGTTTGGAGCAAAACCTTATCTTTTTTTTTTTTTTTTTTTTTATTTTTATCCTGAAGAAAGAAAAAGTCATCACTGAATTGAGAATCCAGCAAACCTTACTCCATCAGTCTCTCTCTCTGCAAAATGTGAAAAAGAAGCAAAGAGCAGTTGAAAAATGACAGTGGATTTTTATTCTTTTTGAAAAAATAAAAAGAAAAAAGAAATTGTATCAAAGGACAAATAACATAACAGGCACAGGGCGTGCGGATCCTATTTAAGCCATAGGCCTATAGCCTATGCCCCCCTAATCCACCCAAGACACTCTCACAGATGTTCTTCCTGTAAAGGAAGGGACTCAATATTTGTATCTTTTGAGGTTGAATGTTATTGATGTTGGAAGTCACACAATTAAATATATATTCAGTAAATAAAGAAATAATACTGAAATAAATCTTTAAATTTTACTCAAAATTTTATAAAAAGAAACTGTCAATTTTTTACTGTAAAATATCAAGATTATGGAATTTTTTTTCATTGTAATTATACTTAGTAAGTTTTGAAAATTACAATAAAATTTAATTATAAAAAATTTAAAATAATATTTTCCCAAATATTTATCACTTAACTCATCCAAATAAATCTAAATAAGCATTTTATAAATGTTGGTAAAAAAAGCATTTTTATAAATTACATCATACTAAGAATATATATATTTTTGGATAATTTGTAGTTTTATTGCCTAATACAATAATTCACTGCTACCAATATACAACTCATATAATTTTATTTGCCACTCTCGGTTCTATAC